AGCCGACACTTGACATAAAAGTAAGCATTTAAAACCTTCCTTGTTAGCAAGCGACCGGCCACTCGGTGTCTGCCCCACGGGACATAATTCAGCGTAAATATCGAATATTAGATCAGACAAGTTGCGTTTCCCTGACACGGGCAAGTCCCAAACAGCCGTGGCTTTGCAGCAGGGGTTCTCAACCTGTAGGCCGCGACCCTAAGTTTGGGGTCAAAAGACTCTTTCACAGGGGTCGCCAAAGACCATCAGAAAACACATATTTATTGAAGTTATGAAGTAAAGTGAAGTAAAAGTAAAGGACCCTTTTCAACGTCTTTCGGGATATTGGGTATATAGGGCTAGGCTTATATTTTATAGACCAAACGGCACTTGGTTGGTGATGTGGTTAGCATCAGGCCCGCCGTCTTTACTTTCACAGGACAGTACCGTGTACCCATTCAAGGCTGGGACGACCTGGGAGCCAAAGTCATTTATTGAAAAGTTCGGGGCCCGTCAGGAACCGAACCCACGACCTTCCAATTCGCAGGCGAGAGTCTAGCCGTTAGACCACGGCGGTTCCCAAGTTATGAAGCAGCAAAAAAAAAAATTATGGTTGGGTTGTATCCACAACATAAGGAACTGGGCTCTCCTTTAAATAACGGTCGCTAGCTGGAAGGCGACGGTCGCTTAGTCAGAGTTCACTCCCTTGGCTGCAGTGCAAATACGGAGTGGACAAGTCACGAATAAAAAAAAACAAGAAATTTTTCACAAATAGCAGCCGTTATTATGGGTAAGTACTCGACGCTACATGTGTTACCCTAACCCTAACCCTAATTCAAACCCTAAGCCTAGCCTTACCCTAAGCAACCGTAGCATGACAGGTAAGTATGTCATTTGTTTCGTTCCCTCTTTACCACTCCGTATTTGCACTGCAGCCAAGGGAGTGAACTCCGACTAAGCGACCGTTGCCTTCCAGCTAGCGACCGTTATTTAAAGGAGAGCCAGGAACTGTATTAAAGGGTCGTGGCAGTAGGAAGGTTGAGAATCACTGCTCTATAGCTACAATGACATTCTAATCCTAAGGGAAGACAATGACAAGCTGACATTGTTTCTATAAATGTAGGAAAACAAATGTTTCTCTTTCAGTACGTCCGTGTGTCTCTCAGTACGTCCGTTTCTCTCTCAGTACGTCCGTGAGTCTCAGTACGTCCGTTTGTCTCTCAGTACGTCCATGTGTCTCTCATTACGTCCATGTGTCTCTCAGTACGTTCGTGTGTCTCTCAGTACGTCCGTGTGTCTCTCAGTACGTCCGTTTGTCTCTCAGTACGTCCGTTTGTCTCCCAGTACGTCTGTGAGTCTCAGTACGTCCGTTTCTCTCTCAGTACGTCCGTGTGTCTCCCAGTACGTCCGTGAGTCTCTCAGTACGTCCGTTTGTCTCTCAGTACGTCCGTTTGTCTCTCAGCACGTCCGTGTGTCTCTCAGTACGTCTGTTTCAATCTCAGTACGTCTGTTTCAATCTCAGTACGTCCGTGTGTCTGTCAGTACGTTCGTGTGTCTCTCAGTACGTCCGTGTGTCGTTCAGAATGTATCCTGTTCAGCTCCACTTGGTGATTTATTATTGTATTTGAGGAGCTGGTGGCTGAACAATTATAACGTTAAGCTCTCATGCGGGAGACCAGGGTTCAAATCCTCGGTAAGGCTGAGAATCTTTTTATGTTGGGGGCAAACTAAAATCCTCACCTGCACAGTCGTGGCGACAGCCCTAGCCATGCGGCCATAAATCCTCAAGCTCAAAGACAGCCCCTGTCTACTCCACAGAAGTGGTATATAAAGGCAGTCATTGGTAGTTTGGCAGTTATTGTATTTTAATATTAGTTGTGTGTTATAACACTTTTTACAGCTGGACATAGGCGCCGAAACCTGAGACTCAAGTCCCGTGAGTCCCCCCAATATAGTAGTGCCCCCCCGCCCCCCCCCCCCCCCCCCCCCCCCCCCCCAACAGTTGTGTGAACAGGCTAAGCAGCCCCCTTAACCGTCTGAAGAAATTCTCTGTAAAAATGTAAAAGTATTCGTTTGTTTATTTCTCAATATTTCACACACATTATTTTATGTATTTGCCATCAGCACATTATTTTGTGTCGGCTCTGTGGTTAAGTCGATGCGAACGCTTGGTAATGCCGCGATGCCGGGTTTAATCCCAGCTGCGGGCCATGCGCCTTGCGTTGGTTTCGACAGTGATATCAAGAAAGCCGACCGTCCAGTTAGCAATGGCAAACTACTGGACGTGAATTTTCCTAGATAAACCACACAACCGCCAGGGGCTGTTGGGGTTGGTTCTGCAACGTCCTGTAAAGAATACGCAACTAATCTTAACATTATTATGCTGATATTCCGGTTCTTAACTGAATTCGTGGTCTCGGGTTCCGAAACAAAGAAAATATGAGGGGGGGGGGAGGGTGTGGGGGGGGGGGGGGGGTCACATGCTCTTGCTAATGTTCTAGGGCTCCTCGGTGGGCCTAAGCTTATTAAAAGTGCCTAATAATAATAATTTGCTGTGAAAGTAAAATAAAAGAACCTTTTTTCCACGCCTTCAGGCATATTGGGCATTCCGGGCTTGATCTATATTTTATAGACCAATCTGCACTTGGTTTGAGATATGGTCAGCATCACGCCGGCCGCCTTTACTTTCCAGGACGTTTAGCTGGTATCAATTTGTAAGGGTGGGGCAACCTGGGAGTTGAGGTCATTTTTTGGAAAAGGGGTGTCGGGGGGGGGGGGGGGGTAGAGTCCGGCATCCGATTTGTCTAATCCAGCACTGGCTGCATTTTGCTGCACTGGCTCTGCCGGATCCGGCACTGTGTGAAAGCTGCCATTTGATGACGTTACATCTAGTGCTGTCTCTCAATTTTTCGCCGGTGTGTTTGTGTGTGAGTGAGCGTGAGAGCGCGTGCGTGGGCGTACGTGTGTGTGTGTGTGTGTGTGTGTGTGTGTGTGTGTGTGTGTGTGTGTGTGTGTGTGTGTGTGTGTGTGTGTGTTCAGATTCCGATGGAGTCGGACTTCAAACTTTTTCTTTTAAATTAGGCTCCTATATCGACCCAACCTTAAATGGGCAGTAGTGTTGTATGACATTCGCTATAGCTTTGTCTATTTCCTATTATTTGCACCTTGGTGACTAGTTTGGGTCTATGGTTTGTATATAAAAATGATTTTTTTTTTCTTCAATATTCACTACTATTGGGTTAAAATTGTGGCAGTCTTGGTCAGTTAAGGTCTACGCTTTGCGTCTTCGAAAACAAGATTCAATACCCACAAGCAAGCAGCTGGTCTTTGCAGTAGCGCAGGGTCACGTATGAAAGAAAGGGTTAACATCACTTCTCGTCCTTTTTAGGATTAATCAAGTAACAGAAAGTATTGTGAACGGCACTCATAGAAAGAAGTAGAAAGATAGAAGAACACACTAGACAACATAAAAATCGAAAGCTATAGTTACAGAATATATAGGTACATAATTCATTTCAACCCATTGAAATGGCACTATAGGTTACAGAAATTTATATTAACGAAGCAAATGTCGAATAACAATCACAGCAACAATTTACGAACACAGTAAGACCTTATTGCTTTCTCTAGAATACACAAACATTTAAGAAAGGTATTTGATTGGTAGGTTCCGGTGTGTATACGTCATTCCTATAAATAAACAGAGGGGGGAACCATTTGAGGCCGTTAAATATTATGAATTAATCAAGTAACAGAAAGTATTGTGAACGGCACTCATAGAAAGAAGTAGAAAGATAGAAGAACACATTAGACAACATAAAAATCGAAAGCTATAGTTACCGTGCCGGAATTGAACCTGTCACCTCCAGACGGCGTCTGCGCCTCGCCATGAATACAAGTGCACTAAGTTACATGGTCAACAAGGCACCCAATGAGACACCTTTTTAGGATGAAACTTTTCGTTATTTGAAGCCCTACTCTGGCTCTTGCCAGGGGCCGCATTATAGCCCGACTATAAAAATGGCCTAATGGCTGAACGCGGTTTCTGGGACCTCTTCACGGTGATCCTTATTGTGTCATCGGGTGTTTATCGCTTGTGTGATGTCCTGGGGCGGTAGAAAGTCAGTCAGTCAAAAAGAAAGGGAACAAACCACACAACTGCTAAACTTTGTTCTTTTTTCGTTGTTATCTTTTCTTAGACACGATTCGACAAACAGAGGAAACGCAAACTATTTCACTTCTTCTTCTTTTTCTTCTTCTTCTACTTCTTCTTCTTCTACTTCTTCTTCTTCTTCTTCTTCTTCTTCTTCTTCTTCTTCTTCTTCTTCTTCTTCTTCTTCTTCTTCTTTTCCACCTTGTACCTCATCGAAGTGACGGGGGGGGGGGGGGGGGGGGGGGGGGGAGGATGTAACATTCGTTGATGAGCTCTGTCAAGAGCACTATTAAGACTGATGTTCCTTTACACACCTTCTGTAAATACTGAACATATCGCGTCTAAATGACAAGGCAAGTCCGCTGTCTTGATTTAGATCAAAGCAAGCATGTGTTTACTCATAGGTTGGAAGACGTAACTAAGTAGGAAGTTGGCAGATCGTTTCTAAAACCTGCCTCCACTTATTTTAATAGTTCTAAACACTAAGGCGAAATCGACATCTTAGTTACTGCCATAAAGTCTTGCTACGGTGATCATACCAGTCGTCTCTTTTTGGAATATTGCCTTTCACTCCAATTTTAGGCGCCGTTTTATTTTAGTAGGTCCTTTTGCAGAAGGTCACTGCTATCAGGAGTTGCCTATTGATCTCAAGATCTCCCACCCGTGTACTTTTCCAGGAAGTGCGTCCTTGTATCATATGCCTATCTTCGTGCTAGTTTGCCCCTGCCCCTCTTTCAAAGTACATTGCCTTATGATGTTTTCTTTCTTATCTGCTGTGGCGCTTGATATGGCAAACATATTTCTATTTCAGAGACAAGATGCTGTTAACTTCTTGATTGTTGTTGTAAGTTTGACTATTTGTTCGCAGGTACCTGGAATTTAACGATTGTTGAGGGCCTGTGGTGGAACTGTACACAGCCGACTGTGATACCGAATTCTTCCGAAGGATGCAGTCCTAGTAATGGCAGAAGTATGTATTGCTTGTCTGTGTCCAAGTCGTGGGAGAAGCGATTGTTGCTTGTCTGTGTCCTAGTCGTGGGAGAAGCGATTGTTGCTTGTCTGTGTCCAAGTCGTGGGAGAAGCGATTGTTGCTTGTCTGTGTCCAAGTCGTGGGAGAAGCGATTGTTGCTTGTTTGTGTCCTAGTCGTGGGAGAAGCGATTGTTGCTTGTCTGTGTCCAAGTCGTGGGAGAAGCAATTGTTGCTTGTTTGTGTCCTAGTCGTGGGAGAAGCGATTGTTGCTTGTTTGTGTCCTAGTCGTGGGAGAAGCGATTGTTGCTTGTTTGTGTCCTAGTCGTGGGAGAAGCGATTGTTGCTTGTCTGTGTCCTAGTCGTGGGAGAAGCGATTGTTGCTTGTCTGTGTCCAAGTCGTGGGAGAAGCGATTGTTGCTTGTTTGTGTCCTAGTCGTGGGAGAAGCGATTGTTGCTTGTCTGTGTCCTAGTCGTGGGAGAAGCAATTGTTGCTTGTTTGTGTCCTAGTCGTGGGAGAAGCGATTGTTGCTTGTTTGTGTCCTAGTCGTGGGAGAAGCGATTGTTGCTTGTTTGTGTCCTAGTCGTGGGAGAAGCGATTGTTGCTTGTCTGTAGTATAAAATTTGTAAAGCATGCATTGGTCGTATACATCCTACTGCTTACAGGTGTGTGTGTATTGCTCGTTTGTCCTCTTATAATGGCAGATGTATGCATTGCTTGCTTATTTCCTAGTACAAGAGGAAGCAATTATTACTTTTGTCCTAGAAATGGATGAGTATGTATTGCGTATTTATATATGAGTTCCTTTTGTGGTGTTATTGGAGAAGTGAAATTTTCCAGTTGCTGTTTTAATAACGTTTGTTAGAATAGTATGTACTGCGAATATTTGATTAGTTGTCTGTGAGCTAGTTAGTCTGTAACTTGTATATTTAGACAGATAGGTAAGTAAGTATTTCCTATGTTAGTTATTTATTTAGTTAGCAATATATTTATGTGGGTATTAATCCATATGGTTAGTTATTTAAGGTACGTAGTTTGTTTGTTTGTTCGTTGCTTAGTTTGTCTGTCAGTTATTTATATAGTTGGTAAGTTTTAGGTTAGTTAGTTGGTTGGCAAGTAAAGAGACAGGTGATGACATAGGGGCTACTCTATAGCAAGTTTGTAAAACAGAGACGAGAGAGAGAGAGAGAGAGAGAGAGAGAGAGAGAGAGAGAGGAAGAGAGAGAGAGAGAGAAAACAGTGAGTAAGAGAGAGAGAGAGTGGTTATGATTCGAGAGGTCAGTCAACAGCAAGTGTGGTTTCTAAGAAAAAATATAGAAAAGAGAGAGAGAGAGAGAGAGAGAGAGAGAGAGAGAGAGAGAGAGAGAGAGAGAGAGAGAGATGATAAAGTGAGAGGTCAGTCGAAGCATGTTTGTTTTGAAAGAAAGAAAGAAAGGAAGGAAGAGAGAGAGAGAGAGGGGGGGGGAGAGGGACAGAGGACAGTAGGAGAAGAAATAGAAAGAGAAGATAAATAAAGATGGGTACAGAGAGGGGGGAACTAATTAAGGCGAACACAAACATACAAACCATCGGTGGCTAGCAAGAGACATGAAAAAACCTATTTCACTGCAAAACCCCTCGATGGAGTCCCTTTTTAAACTATCCCAAGTCGAGAGTACAGCACGCAGGATTTGACAAGTTAACGTGGACAAATTAATGGATGGGTATTAGTCGACATCAGTGATAAATTGCTTAATGATAACGTTTGGTCTGAAAGATACTACCCCCTCCTAGATGCCATTACTGCCTGCAGTTACCACTTCTGTGTCTTAAGGGGGGGGGGGGGGAGCCTGACGAATTATGGTCGCAATGCTAGTGCTGTCGCCAAGGACTGTGCAGGTAGTTAAATGTTGAATTAGGAATTGACTTCACAGCACTCGTGACACCGCCGTAAGTGCTATTTTTAACGAACAGATGGGGAAAAGATTATTTTAACGAACAGATGGGGAAAAGATTATTTTAACGAACAGATGGGGAAAAGATTATTTTAACGAACAGATGGGGAAAAGATTATTTTAACGAACAGATGGGGAAAAGATTATTTTAACGAACAGATGGGGAAAAGATTATTTTAACGAACAGATGGGGAAAAGATTATTTTAACGAACAGATGGGGAAAAGATTATTTTAACGAACAGATGGGGAAAACACAACAACAGGCAAATGAGATAACAAAAAACAAAAACAAAAAACACTTGATTAAACCACATTTGCGGTGTAGCGGGTGTCTTTTAGCCTGAGGATTTGCGGCTTCATGGCTAGTGCTGTCGTCACGGACTGTGCAGGTGAGGATTTTATTTCCCCCCCCCCCCCGACAGAAGTAATCTCTAGCCCTACCGAGGATTCGAACCCGGGTCTCCCGCTTGAAAGCCTGGCGTCTTAACTTTTCAGCCAGCCGCTCCTCGAGGAAAGAGCACTTTAACGAATTAGCGAGAAAAGACTGATTTAACGAAAAGATTGGGGATGCGAGGGGGGGGGGGGGGAGGAAAAAAAAGGGGGGGGGGGGTAGAACTTCTTTAACGAGTGGACGGAAAAACTCTTTATTAACGAAGAAAAGATGTGGCGTAGGTGGCAAGACAATTATTGAAGACTACTTGGAAACCCCAGAGCGCAGAAAATGTAAAGTTAAAGGGTAAAGTCGGGAGATGGGAACCAGCGTCATTGCACACGTTTATAAACCATAAGTGCTCTGCCACCAGTACGGACAGCTGATAAGAAACTGTGTCGCTACGTCCGCACGTAACTCCGTAGCTACAGCAACGTTCCTCCATTTACCCCAGAGTGCCATCTCTGGTACCCATTTCCTAGAAGCTGGGTGAACCCCGGTGACCGCCCGGTTTCGAACACCGACCGTGGGTGCAGCGAGTCGCAGCGGGATTTGAAAGCCAGCCTCCTATCGACTGCGCTAATGCGGCTCTGACAGAAAATGTATGGAGAATTAACTGCTATGTTTACCCTCCTTCCCGCCACACCTTTATGGTACTGCACGGAACCCGTTTTGAGTGTATAGAGTTTCCAGACTTTCAATTTACAATTTTCGCTTTGTTGAGTCATTTTCCTGGTATCTTATGTCTCATTTGATTTCATGCCCCAGACGTAGATGCCAGCCGAACGCTGTCATTCGGCGCTGTGCATAATTCATTGAGTTTCAAATAGTATTTGGCGTTATTTTTCCCCCAGCGGAATTACAAAGACGTTGGTTTGGTCATGCATAGTTATTGATTTTGCTTAAACTGTTACTTGTGGTATGCTGCTTACACCGATAAAACGGGTTACAGAATCATACTGGAAGGAAAAGTAACTAACAGTTATAAAATTACTACTGCTGCTACTACTGTTTACTACTACTGCTGCTGCTACTACTATGGCTACTACTACTACTACTACTTCTACTACTACTACTACTACTACTACTACTACTACTACTACTACTACTACTACTACTACTACTACTACTACTACTACAACAACTACTACTACTACTACTACTACTACTACTACTACTGCTACTGCTGCTATTGCTGCTACTACTGCTACTACTGCAGCTGCTGCTACTGCTGATACTACTACTGCTGCTGCTGCTACTGTTGTCTACTACTACTACTGTTTACTACTACTGCTGCTACTACTGTTTACTACTACTGCTTACTACCACTACTACCATTACTGCTACTACTGCTGCTACTACTGCTACTACTGCTGCTACTACTGTTTACTACTACTACTACTACTACTACTACTACTACTACTACTACTACTACAACTACTACTGCTGTTACTACTACTACTACTACTACTACTACTACTACTACTACTACTACTGTTACTACTACTACTGCTACTACTACTACTACTGCTACTACTACTACTACTGTTTAAACCTGTTGCTACTTCTACTGCTGCTGCTTAAAGTACTACTAATAAAATGCCACTACTGGTACTACTAGTATTATTACTACTACTGCTACTGTCACAACCATTGCTACTGCTGTTACTACTACTACTATCACCACCACTACTACCACTAATACTGTTACTATTACAAACAAAAATTTTCAGCTATTGCTACTAAGATTACTACTACGACAACAACTACTACTACTCCTAAACCACTACTACTACAACTACTGCTACTTCTGCTGCTGCTGCTACTACTACTACTACTACTCATACTGCTGCTGCTGCTGCTACTACTACTCCTGCTGCTGCTATCACAACCATTGCTAATGCTCCCACCACCATTACAACCACTAATACTGTTACTATAACAACAATGTTTTCCCAGCTATTGCAACTCAGACAACAACAACAACAACTCCTACTTCTACTACCACCACCACCACCACCACTACCACAACCACCTTTACTACAACCACAGTCGCAAAAAACAACAATACACAGCTACAAGCTACCCACACAAAAACAAAATTCTGCCAACAGGTAACAACAAAACCTTCGTCATTCCATAACTGTCAATAGTTATAATCAATGACCCAGCGACCAACAATAGAGCACCAGTTGCGCAACATCCATCGCTGCCACAAAAGGCTTACTCCAGCAGACAACACCTATTTATACCGACAATAATTAGTGCAAGATGGTTTGTTATCAGATAACCAGAGTAATGTGAGAGGGTGCGGAATTGAAGTTCTGAACAGACAGTCTGTCTACGGTGAATAGACTTTCACGGCTATGTCTAAAGCAGTGTTTCCCAAACTGAACGCCGTGGCACCCCGGGGAGCCGCGACCTCTTCACGGGGCGCTGCTCAACATTCGTAGATACACAAGTATTGTTTGTTTTAATCTCTTACATACGAATAGTCATACTTTTACTTAGGTTAGGGCGCCGTTCCGGCGTAATGCTGACCCCATTACCCATCCAGTGCCGATTGGTCTGTAAAAATATTGGATGCTCTTCCCATATACCCGATGCGCATAAGGCGTGAAAAAGGATCTTTACTTT